AAAAAAAACCTTTTAAGCTAGACCGCATATGCAAGGAAAAATAAGTTGATCATAAAATTAAGGTTGATAATGTGTTATCTGTTTCCAAATGTTATAATACAGTATTTTGTAGTGTTCACATTAAGCTTGACCACATAGTAATTCAATTCGAATTTAAGATTATTATTTGTTTTGTCGGGATAAAAATCGTCTGGCACACTCGTTTTCCCGCGCTTTTAGTCGTTCGACAGACGATGTTGGTCGCCATAGGAATGCTACTCAGACATCTGAAGACTCGACCGCTCATTAGTTAAGCGATATACGCTGAGAAATAAATGTTTGTTTAGTTAATAAAAAATGAATAAGTTTTTAAAAATTTTGTTGTCTGTTGTATTCAGAATCGCAAAAACTTCATTGCAGAAAATGTCCCCCTTGAGAATAAAATCGACCTGTCCGAGCGATTTGCTTGGACGAACGCGATATCTCTGCCGTTTCGTTTTCGTTGGGACACCCTGTATAAACTTCTATATCCCCAGACAGCATAAATAGTACAAACTAATGGAATTTTAAATTATCCAAGTTCAAATTAACAAAGATTTCCTGTAGCTATAAGCCATCAGAGTTTGATTTTGATTGTCTAAAGTTAGGTCTACACAGCAACATTCAGAGTTGACATTAGTGAGGTTGCAGCCGAAGTTTTCATCTCTAAAATGTGAATGTCAAACATTGAGCGTCACTATCTTGTAAGCGGCACTCGACGTTCAGGTTTTAGAGATGAAAACTTCAGCCACAACCTCTCTATTATGTCTACAGTAATGTCTCTGCTGTCTGTACATTGCAACTAACTAAAGAAACTTAAAAGACTACCGATAATAAAATATAACAGACAATTATTGAAAGAACTGCATTTGTAGTTTCTCTTAGAGATAAAGGAATTAAGCTAAATTACATATATAATCCATTCCAAGATTAACAGAATAAACATGATATTAATACAAAAAAATCTAAAGCATAATCATATTTATGTAAATATAGAAAAGATTTTTTGGTTTTATTTACTTATTTTTACTAAAACTTTTAAAGTTTCTAACAACTAAAAGAATTAACAATTATTTAATTCTTTAATTATAAAATTTAAAGTTAAGAATGAATTAAATAAAGTTAACATTATGGTTATTATTATTAAAACAGTATTAATATAATTTTTAAACAAAAGATAAAAGTTTATGCTGATGCAAAATCACATCAATGTAGACATTTTGATAACAAGCATATTTTAAAAAAATCCTTTCATAGATTATTAATAATAACATAAAAATATCATCATCCAAACTAACTAAAAGCATTCTCTTAAATCATATTTTATATTAGACTAAAATTATACTCAATTTTATGTTTAAAGTGCCCTTTTACTCTCAAATTTTAAACTAATAAATAATTTTATAATATGTATACAAGGTGTCAACTTATACTTAGCCCAACTATGATGATGATAAAACATTAGTGATGTAAATTTTATAGGGAATATTTAGAAGAGAAAGTATATGAAACCAATTCCAGAGTTACATACAAATTGAAGGAAAGCATTCTCAGAAGCAGTGACGCTATCAACATCAGTATTTTATAAGGTTAGTTTGAACATTTGATTAAATTGCCTCAATGTCCTTTTTTCCTTATTAATATGTAAATTTTTTTGACTATAAATTCGACTTTCATCTATTATCAGGACTTATTATACTGGTTTTACAGATAATATTACAAAGATTAACAGAAAACAATTTTTATTTTATTTCGTATACCTGCAGGTATACGAAAAAATTTACATATTAGTTTGAACATGATTACTTGTATACAAAGGTGGACAGATGTACAAAGACACCACTTTCATCGTCGTCTTTAAGTTTTTGTACATTTAAATAATGTTTTTACAAGTGACCTTTGCTTAAATTCTCATTTCCAATGAGTGGGCCAATTTTATGTGGGACACCATGTATATATATTATAAAATTGTTATACAGATCTGTATATATACTTAGAAGAGAAGTAAATTAATATCTTACCTGATCAATAATTTTTTGTAAGGATACACCTGCTTGTCTTTTTAAATTAAATGAACTTGTTTTATAAAAAGTCCCTAGTCCCCTTGTTTTATTTTCTGGAATTGAAACTAACCCTTTATATCCAAGACTATTAAGGTCAGATTCAAGGATGTCATAGTATTTTTTTGGAATTTCTTGCAAACAAATGAAATCTGAATTTGTTCTTTTAAGTTCTGTAAGTAATTTTTCATTTTGAGGAAAAGATTCATTTGGTATGGCACTCAAGTTATATGAAATAAGGCTAAATGTTTTATCTTGAAGACAGGTTTTTGAATCTTCACTCAGACTAGAATTATAAACATATTTGCGATTGGGCAAATCAAAACTACTATCACTGGATTGCATCAAATTGTTGGGAGCACCATTAGGTTTTATTAAACATTCAGTATTTGATGGTGCTTGAGAAAATGATTCTACTGCTACATTTTCAGTTTCTGAGGCACTATTATCACTTGTTTTTGACATATCAAGTATATCATCACTTTCATTATTATTTCTAGATTTTTCTGTAGAAATATTTGCACCATTAACAGGTAACATTTCTGTTAAACTAAGATTTGTGGCATTTTTTTCTGGAAAAGAAATTTTACTTGGCTGCACAATACTGCAAGATGAACTATATTCTTTCTGATTTGATGTAGCATTGTTTTCAGTGTCTTTTAAATTGATTTCCAAAGGTTTAGATGGCCCTTCAACTTCTTTTGAAGAATCTTGGGTATCAGATTTCTCTAAAAGCAATGTATCTGATTTTGTAGTACATTCTGCTACAACAGAGAGTTTGTCTTGTAATTTCTCATTTTCAGGCTGTATCTTTTTAGTGTCATCAACATTAGTACTGACTAAATTTGTGCATTCTGTAGAAATTTTTGAATTTGACTGCGAATTATTTTCATATTCTTTGCTAGCTTGAGTAATATTATTATGAGAATTACCTGTATCATATATTACTGATTTAGTTTCTTTTTCACTTGTTAATTTGGTTGTACAATAATCTCTCTCTTTTGAATCAATAGGTTTTTCTTTAATTACATCATTTTCAGAATTCTTACTTTCTTTGTAGGAATTTTTAGTATCTATTGAAAGATTTTCTGAACTTTTTTCTCCAATAGTTTGATTATCATTATCTACTTCCATTAAGTCATTAGTTTGTGAATCATCTTTACAAATCTTTTCTGATAAATCAATGGATGAATTTCCTTTTGATGCAGAAGAATTGGAAATTTCACTTTTCATACTTTCTGTAGTATTAATTTTATTGGACAGTTCATCAGAACTTGTTTTATCAACTGATATTAAATTGTTTACTTGAGTTTTGCATGTTTCTGATAAAATTTCTTTAGGCTTTTCTTCCAACTCCATATCACTCTGTTGTGATTTTGCACTTTCTTGAAGAGATTCTGATTTTTCAAGTTTTTCCTGATTTTCATCTTTTTCATTTTCTAAATTTGAATCATCTGTTTTAATACGTTTCTTAGCTTCTTTCTTAACATCCAATTTACGCTTTTTTTTATCTTCTGTACTTACTGTATCTTCTGCATTGTCACTAGTTTTATTTTCCTTCTTCATATCTACATCTTCAAGTGGCACATTTGCAGTTTCAGAAGATATTTTTTTATGTCGAGTTTGTCTAGTTGATGAAGATAAATGTATTTTATCAGTTTCTGTAGATTCTTTTGGGGTCTTTCCACTTCTTGTTGATCTCACTGGCAATAAATCTGACTGAATTTTTCTTTTAGTTCCCCTTGTTTTCCGTGTAGACTCTGAATCATTTTCTGATCTACTTCTTCTTGTAATTACCTCATCAATTGTATCAGATTCTTCCATAGTTTTTTCATCACTTTCTTCTTCCTCTTCTTCATCATCATCATCGTCATCATCAAAATTATCTTCAGCTGAAGTAAATCTTGATTTTCCTTTAACTGCTTTAGGAGGTCGACCTCTTCCTCTACCTCTGACTTTAGGTGGCGACTTAGTAGTAGTTCTGCTCCTAGTTCTGCTTTTGTTTGATTCTTCAGAATCAGATTCTTCTAAATCATCTTCTACATGATATTCTTCTTCTTCATTTTTCTCTGTAGTTGAAGTCATATCTTCTTCTCCTTCACTCTCCTGATAATTAACACGCCCTGTACTTCTTCGTGTTGTTTTTACACGTGATGCAGGAGATTCAAGAGTTGCCTCTCGAGTTTGCCTTGTGCGAGTACTTTCAGATGGAGAGGAACTTCTATTTCTATTACTAACATTTCTACTTCTTGTAACTCTTGACTCTGCTAGAGATGCTGCTGTCTGAGCTGTAGTTGAACTGCGTCGAGTGCGGCTAGTAATTGATCCTGAGGAATCATGACGTGAACTAGATCTTGTAGACCGACGTGATGTGTTTTCCTGTGGAAAAAACAACCATTCAAATCAAATCCTTGGTACCAGATTAAATTTTTTATTAACAAATATATCAACTAAAATGTTCAAAATTCAACATGACTACCTAAAGGAATCAAATGGTTTTTAATGTTGAATGTTTCTGTCATCAATAAACTGTCTACTGTATACAAAAGTTAGGAAATAGCAATTTCCATTATATTAACTGTAAATAAAAAATAATACAATTGTGTTTTTTGTATTTATAATAATGTGAAAGTAATGCTATAATTATAAAATATACTCCTAAAAAAGAATATTTGTCTTGGAAGATTGTTCTATTCATGGAGAGCTAATAAAGTAGGTTTATAGTTAGTCAAACTGGAGTAAAATTATTAAAGAAAATAAAATTTAAAAGTGTATATTGACAAAAGCAGAAACAAAAAATAATTTGTCTCCTATAAAATAGATTCCTGAACTGTCCATAAAACCATTTCAAATCAAATTATGAAAATATAATAGTACTTGCCAAATAACTATTTGCCACAAATCAGATCATAAAAGTTTACTTGAGAAATATGGTCTTTTTCTCTTAAAAAGTTTTTTAAAAAAATAATAAAACAAAAACTTATTTTATTTCCAAACATATATTTGGAAAATAGTTTTGAATATTAGAAGTTTGTTAATCTAACATCTATGAGAATAGAGAGATGTTAATTACACTACTCTTGCTAATCTGGCCATTCCTTGAACAGAGGATCGCCAGAATGTGTATAAGGTCTAAAGATTATCTCAAAGCAATGAATGATATGACCTTTCACTCTATGGTACTGATTCTTTTTGGTGCAATGCTGTCTGTTATTGTGAAATTATGTACAATTATACAGTACAGTAGATCCCCCTATAAAACCGTTTCCTATAGTTATGATTCCTATAAAAATTGTGGCAGTATCCGTAAACAACGGTAAAAATAACTCCTATAATACGTAAAACGTCATCGGGCAGCCGAACTACTTTCCCGCCGTCCGTAGCGCCATGCTACGGTTTTCAAACAGCCGTAGTCTGTAAACTATGATTCCTACAAAATTGATTCATAAAGAACGGAACGTATCTACCGTCTTATAGGGGGATCTACTGTAATTGTAAGTTTAATTCTTTATTAAATTTAATATTACAAGTTTATTGTGTGTATTTAAAAAAACATGCATCATATTATAATGGAGGTATATCGGATAATTAAAGACCACATTGGGTAAGAGTGCACTGTACTGAAATTACTGGATTACTGGGTTTTTTTCACAAAACTTAAGAAGTTATATGCAATCTAAGCATCGTAGACATTACTATAAATTTTGTACCAATATGCAGTGTCATAACTAAGCAGATGCAATAGGTGCAAGGCACATGGCATGGGACAACAGGGGCCTCAAAACTGACAAAGAAAATATCAAATATTCTATAATATTTTTATTTACAAATACATGTGAATGATCTTGCACATTTCTTACATACAGAAGAATTATTTGTAAACAATTGTTATGAACATATTTGTATTGTTATTATTATTTCATCCTCCCAAAAAATTAAGAGGCCCAAAAATAAAACCTTGCACAAGACAGATGTATAACTAGTTACAACATTGCCTTCATGCACTGCTGTATGCTTCCAAATTGTTTACACATGCTCTTTAATCAGTCTGAAGATGACAAGTGCATTACTGTTCTATATTAAGATTAATTGAAAAACTTGTGAAAATGTTAATAAACATATTGCACAAAATCAACATTTCCATATGTATATACAAAAACAAAACACATGTCCATTCATACTGAGTAAAGTGATGGAGTTGAGTCCTGTCTCGTAGTGACAGGTTATAACCATCTCTTTGTCTCTCCCCTCCCATTTTCGGTTCCCAAGCTATAGGGTGTTTCAGTTTTTTTTTTGGTTAGGCCTTGTATATTCTATCATCATCCAGTAATAAACAGCTTTTACTGTCAAAGATCTTAACTGTCAAAAAATTGTCAGAATGTTAAAGATTTTGACTGACAAAAAATGAAATAGGTGATACTGATGAGGATTATTGACTCAATTAATAATTAGATATTAAGTAATTTGGTATTAAAGGTAGACAATAGGTGCCTTCTCTTATTGAAATTAATAAGTATAACCATCCACCAGTTACTCACAGATATATCAAGAATTAAAATATGTCTGGAAGCAAAGAATTGCTTGAACATCTGGGTGACATAACTGGTAACAAAACTGTATGGTAAGCCAAACTTGCAGGTTCAAATTTCACTCCTGGCCAATTCTTTTCTTCCAGACTATTTATAATTATTAATTTCAATAAGAGGTGGTGCTTAACGTCTACCCTTATACCATATTATTGAGTCAAAATGCATTGAGAAGTAAATTAGTTTTTATTTGGTTATTCTTTTATGTCTTTTTAAAACAGTTTTATCTCAGATAAACAATCAGTAAAATTTTGTAAAACATATTTTGAGTTTAATAACTGTCTACATTTTAGATATTCACATTCTTAGTATATTTAACATTCATTATGTAGTAATATAATATTCAACTGCAATAAAAATCTTATTGACAAAATATGTATTTCTATGACAACCATGTTCAAACTGAAACTTTCTTTAGAACAATCCATTAAATTTTAATAAATAATAATTAAATTTATAATGAACTATTTTTTCAATTCACTTACATTCAATAAATTACTTCTGATGCTATGATTGAGCCTAAAATTGATTCATTTCATTTCTTCATCTCATTATTCAATGTAAAAACTTATTAAAAAATTGTTTATTCCATTTTTTTGCTCAACAATTTTTTGAATTCCGACTTCAAAGAAATCTACCTCCTGTGAAAAAGCCCAGTCCATGACTGCAGTTTTCACTTCTTCGTCGTCGTTGAACTGTTAACCACCAAAAAACTCTTAAGTATTGAAACAAGTGAAAATCACTGGGTGCAAGGTCTGGACTGTAAGGATGATCCAGTTGTTCCCATCCAAAAGAACTGATCAGACCTTGTGTTTGTGCAGAAACATGTGGCGTTGCATTGTCATGGAGCGATATCATACCGGAAGACAGTAGACCACACCACTTGTTTTGTATGGCACACTGTAATTTTCTCAAGATCACACACACAATATGCATCAGAATTGATCGTTGTGCCTCTTGGCATAAACTCCACTAACAAAATCCCTTTCCTGTCCCAAAAGACAGTTGTCAAGACTTTTTGTACTGAAATGGACTGTTTGGCTTTCACTTTGGTTGGCAAAGATGTATGTTGCCATTCCATTGACTGTTGCTTGGACTCTGGAGTCATGTGAGACACCCAAGTCTCATCTCCTGTAATGATGTGATCCAACAATTCATTGCCTTCCCGATCGTATTGAGTCAAAAACGATAAAGCACTGCCCAATCTTTTTGTTTTGTGATCGTCAGAAAGCAGTCTTGGAACACATCAAGAACACAATTTTCAATAATTCAGTTTCTCCGAAACAATGGTATACAAAACTGTCCAGACGCAAGCAAGCTAGTCCAGAAAACCCGAAAACAACAACACAAAATACGAGAAGGGAAAGATATTGAACAGATGAGAGTGGCGATGCTCAATGTTGGTACGATGTATGCAAGACGCGAGTTTGTTGCAGCGGCCCTGCGGAGGCAATGCATAGACATCTGCGCACTACAGGAAACCAGATGGAGTGTGGAAAAGGCATGCAACATGGAGCAAAAACGAAAGGAACATGGCTACAAGCTGATCTACTTTGGCAGCCCTCACACCCACAGTGGCATAGGCATCGCCATCTCAGAACGAATTCATAATGCAGTTCAATCGATCCATCGATACTATGACCGTCTCATAAAAATTGTCATCATGACACCGCACCGGACTATCCATTCTTTTACTGCTTATGCACCACAAACTGGGCGACCGGAGTCCAAGAAGGATGCATTCTGGCAGCTGCTTGACGATCAGATGCGCAACGTGCCAGCTACAGATTACATCATTGTTGGTGGTGACTTCAATGACCATGTGAGGAGACTGCTGATGGAAGCCGATGTCATGGTGGCTGGGGCTTTGGTCGACGCAATGACGATGGTGAACACATGCTTGGCCTTGCTGATTCCCATGATCTTGTCTTCACCAACATCTGGTTCAAGAAACGACTGTCACAACGGCTCACTTTCTACAGTGGAGACACAATGTCACAGATCGACAATGTCTTAGTCCGACAATGCGACCTACACTCTGTCATTGACGCAAAAGTCGTGCCATATGAGACGGTAGCTGCACAACATCGACCTGTCGTCGCAACGCTTCGCATCAACCTGCAAGATCGAACCGGCCCACCATGCATCAAGTGGTGGAAACTGGGTGGCAGAAAGGCAGAGACCATCACAGGTATTCATCTCCCAACTATGACAACTGTTGAGGAGACACGGCGAAAGGCAAGACGGTCTATCCAAGAGGCTTCCCATTTGACACTCTGCCGTACTATCCCAGGCCGGTGCTTTGTAAAGCATGAAAATTGGTTCTGGACAGATGATGTCAAATCAAAATCCATAGAAAGAAAAAGCTCTACCATGCCTTCCTCAACAAGAAGACTCCACAGAACTGGTAGATATACCGAGACGCCAGCCACGATGCTAAGAAAGCTGTTGCTGCAGCCCGAGTAGCGCACTACAAGAAAATCTATGAGCAGCTTGATGGGAAAGACGGTGAGTGTCTCCTCTGCTGCCTTGCCAAAAGCTATCACCGGTGAATACAAGACATTGAGAAATTTCACTGCATCAACGACAAATGTGGCAAGCTGACTATCGACAGACAAGCCGTGGCGATGGTGGAGTTACTTCAAAAAGATTTCCACTGAGGAGTTCCCACATCCACCTATCACGGAACTGCCTGCCATGGCTGGACCTGTGCATCCAATTACCGAAGAAGAGATCGAAAGTGCATTAATAAAGATGAAGCCTGGCAGGGCATTGGACCAGACAACATTGCTG